GACTTTCACGACACATTCCTGCATCGACCCTCATTAACTGGAGCGTGTTTGAAACATTTGCAGCTGTATCTCCTCAAACCAGCTGACAATTCCTTAAATCAGCCCGAGCTGCTGAAACATCCTCCATCCTTGAATCAGAAGAAGGAAAACCTGGAAGTCTTTGAATGCACTGAAACATCCGAACTCTTAGAATTACTGTGGAAACTGTTACCCAAACTCCACGGGTCTACCACTAAATGCAAAAATATCCTTAAATACTTTTAAATCATCTAAAATCTTTTGAATCGCCCGAAGCATTGATGTCACTCCCACAGTTCCTCTTAAATCCCTTTGAATTATCACCAAATCCCACTAAAGATTCTTTACTGTCCTTGAATCATCTGAGATCCTTTCAAATAATCGTTAATGACATTGTTCGAGACAATCACCTTTTATCACTTTAGATATCTGAAACCAGCCTGAACAGTTACTGTCCTCTTGAATCATCAGGAATAAATGCCTTGAATTGGATTTAAATCTCCTGAATTACCTTAAATCTCATTGAATCACCTGAAAACATTACAGGGATTTATTCCTTCACCCCTAAACTCACTGAAACATTCAGTTCCTGATTTCTTTGGGTAACAAACTCAGTGATTCGTCCTTAAATCACTTTAATCACATAAAATCATTCCTAAATGATCCTGGAAGCTTCCGGTTCATAGAAAATCTCTGAGCCATCAAGGAATCCTGGATGTATTTAACTGAAGCAACACGTTCCTGCTGAATCTCCATAAACCGTCTGTGAGGAGAAAAATAATCCAATCATATATGCTGGAATTAATGGTAGAAATATGAATGCAGGGTGTAACTCGGGCTTTTCCCTCGGTGTCATCAATGCTCTTCCCGAGCTGCTGAAGCAGAGAGCTGGTTAAAAATTCCAGTGTGTGTTTTCCTGTGTCCAAACTGTAAGCCTGGCCTCAAACTGTCAGAGCTCAGCTTTAACTCGACCGGAGTGACGAGCACAGCCATCGAAGGCAGACAGCCTCCGACGGCATGATTGGCAGAGTGGCATTTGCCTCTACGTGTGTGTGTGTGTGTGAAGTTCCTGTGTGGCAGTGTATGATTGTAGCAGCCTAAGCCAGCGTATCGCCTCAGCACGCTGACAGAGCGCTGTCTGGTTGGGATGCTGTGTGTGAACGAGGGTGCAGGAGTGTGTTTTCTAATGAGCCCCATTTAAATGAGTGCGTGTACTCGTATATCTATCTTTGTGAGGACCAACGTGAGGTGGTGAGGACCAGTGTTGGTCAAGTTACTTGAAAAAAGTAATCAGTAACTAATTACTGATTACTTCCCC